GCTCAAATGTTCTTTCATTAAATTCTTCTGTATCTGCCAATTCCTTTAGATACAATGACTCAGTATATTCCTTCCATCTTCTTTTGATACCTCCTGGATCACTTAACATTCTGCCCAAAGCATCCTTGATTGTAGCAACTCTAGGTTTGAATTTGTTCTTCAGTTCCTTGAGCTTAAGAAATGCTGAGCGAGTTCGGCCCTTTTGACTTTCTGACTCCAGCTCCTCTCACATTTCATTGTTATATTTTGTTTTGTCATTCCGAGCAGCCTTTTGGAATCTTCTGTTCAGCTCTTTACTATTTCCTTGATAGTAAAACAAAAAAATTCAGAAAAGAAATTGCAGCACTTCCCCCCCACCCCTCAGCTTCATAGCACAAATTATAATCTATTAGGACTGTCAGGGAATATGTTAAAAGCAAAGCATCACGAAGTGGCAAGCATTGAGTCAGTCAGGAGTCAATGGACTACTGAACTGGTGCTACATTACTGACATAGACTCCTGAGGAATGTTAGTTTTTGAACTGCTGACCTGTTTTGTAATAAAGGGATACTGTTGCTGTTGTTGTTCTTGTGTACCATTGAGTCAGATTTGACCCATCAATGACCCTCCAGCAGGTTTTCAGAGGCAGTAAATCACATGGGAGGAGATAGCCCATTTTTCTCCTGCTGAGCAGGTGGGAGCTGGTGGATTTTAAGCACGTCTTTGGGATTGCAGTGCAACTTCTTGCCACTAGGCCACTAGTGCTCCCTAAGGAGATGTTTTTGATGTTGAATGTCATCAAGTGAAGGTCAACTCTTAGCGACACTATAAACAAAAGACCAAATGCCTTTCCATAGTTATCTTTTTTTTCCCCTCCAAGTTCATAGAGTTTCCAGAGGCATGTGGTTTAGGAATTGGCTGCCAATCCTTCTTCCAAACCTGTTTTACAACCAGGAGCTCCACCAAACACTGTCCACAATGGGAAACCATTATGGTATTTGATATCCCCATGACACAAGATTTAGCA